AACAGCTGATCCTCCTGGAACAGGGACCTCTGGCTGACTAGATTTACCAGAAGGGCAGATAGGGGGAAATGGATGGGGGTGCTGACAGCACAGTGGACAGTGGCAGGGATCGCAGAGTATGGAGGCTCTAGTGGGAGAGGAAGGCTGTCTATCTGACGAGTTTATATTCATGCTCAGATGCCAAGGAACTCAGAAAGTAAGCGACTGTGACCAGTAATAGTCATATGTATAGAGATTAGAAATGCATGTGAAAACGTCTCAATGTCAATTGCCTTAAAATGAATTTTTCTGTGTGAAACTGTGTATTTTAACAACGAAGTGGAGATCTTTTTTAAACATTAAAACCTCATTTAATTTTATGTCTTATAGAGTTTATTTTGAGTAAAGGATTGTACAAGCGCAATAATTCATCTGTAAACCTAAAAATGTGCAGCTAATTTTGAAAGAGATGTACCCTAGCTCAGAAAAAATGTTATTGAATAGGTTAATGCTGTTGTAATGAAATGCTTCTTCTAATTAAAAAAATTATCATTAAAAACAGAAGAAAAACAAAAGTAATATATTTTAGAATATTGGCAGACATTTCTTTTAGTGAGGCAGATCAGATTTTATTTATATTATTTTTGTTGAATATTGAATATTTGCAATTTTCATACAATATACACCATTGCCCACTGCTCAATTTAAGGCACACACAGCCCTCTAGAATCTGACTTGTGTCCCCAAATATCCTTTAATTGGGTCCATCCCCTGTTCGCACCAAGAGTCTCATCTCTGTAAGACATTCGTTCTGCTTCCCAGCATCAATTAATTTTCAAAAGGTTGGGCTTGTATCTTTTACCCATTTTCTCATGTCTATGCCTGCATTTTTTCTGGTTTGAGCTTTCACGCTGGCTCCATTGCTGTGAGTTGAGGGGGCTAGTAGGAGACAGGTGTTATTAAGGGAAAAATGGGGAAAGGAGGGTACTTTAATTGGGGAAGGAGTAGACAGGATTAGAAGGCAAGTGAGAGGAGAGCTAAATACTGCTTAGATGGTATGAAAAACAAGGGAAATGTATTAAAGTCTTGCTGAAAACTATACATACAATAAATATATGAATGCATGTGTATAGCTGAAGGCCGTACAACAAAAAACACAGTGCCAGACAGGAGAGACTTCTCTTCTAGTTGTTCATCATGGTGGTACAAGAGATTCCTAAAATAACACAAGTTATTGCCATAGCACTTAATTGCTTCCCAGAACTTAAAGGTAAGACCCTATTGCTGAAGACAGGCCACACTTCAGGCACAGGACATGGGACAATGGATCTAGAACAGACCTGGATGTATACTTCTTGAAGACTAACTCTTATGGTATACTAACTCAGAGGATATTATACAAGCTGCCAAGGGAGAAAACCAGTCAATGGTCCTACTCAGCTGTAAAGCCTAATAAACAACGACTGGCCCAGCAAACAATTGCTGTTAGTGTAGTAATGGCACAACTATCTTGGAGGAAATCAGCAGTGGTCTAATTGGAATTAAGGCCTGCTCAATAGTAGGGAAATCATGTGAGGTTATGTAAACATAGCCAAATACACATGGCTGGCATGGTCATAGATCCTAGAAAAAAAAACTGTTTTTTCCTACACCTTTAGACCAATAGACCAATGTGATTTCTTACTATATACTAAATATGCATCCTCTAACTTATGGACAGTGTATCTTTCACCCCTAATAAAAGAAGGCAATTTTTTAAAAAAATTTTACAAATATTCTTTTTTTAATATTTTATTTATTATTTTTATTTTATGTATATGCATGTATTGACTGCATGTAGGCAAGTGCACCTGTGTTATGCAATGCCAGCGGAGGACAGAAGAGGCAGTCAGATCCCCTGGGCCTGGAGTTATGGATGGTTGTTAGCTGCCATGTGGGTGCTGGGATTCAAACTTGGGTCTTCTGTAAGAACAACTGAGCCATCTCTCCAGCCCAAAAACAATTTTTTAAGCAGATGGAGACTATTAGAGCACAGAGATTTGTCAAATGATTAACTATTAAACTGCACATCTTCAATGCAACATTGCACATAGGATGAATGCATCTGTCAGTTCTCACCAGAGAAATTTGTAATGCAGCAGATCGTGATTAACCCACAATTGGCCAATGTGCAAAGAACATGAGACTGCAGAGTGCTTATCTCTGAATAGGACACCTATTTTAAACCTCTGCCTCCCAAGACTCAGGGATTATTGTAGAAGGGGTGGAGAAAAGATTGTAAGAGCCAGAGGAGGTGACTGGCCACAAGGAAACAGTCATCCAAACAGCTGCTCAGTTACTCTTATGACCTCATAGCCATTACTTCTAGTTCTTAATTTTCACTCATTATTCAAATTTTGCATAAGGCTCTCTTGGTGTTCTTGGCTCCCATCAAGGATACCACCTTACATGTTTTGGTGATTTCTGCTTAGGTTCTTATTGATGTTACAGTCTTCAAAGTCACATGTTTTGGAGGTCTTCCAGAACCTTGAATAATACTACTAATCATGTGCTTTGTAGAATGTTCTTCAGTAGAGGTTTCTTTTGTTTTTCTCATGATTATTTTCTCACAGTTATATGGTTCAGATTCCTGATTTTATTTTTTTGTTTCAGACATTACATCCATCATGAAGGTTCATGTGGCACATTTCGTGCCATAAGCATTTGTTCTCCATGTGACATTTTCCTTTTTCTTAACCATACAATGTATTGATTGTAGTCCTGCTAATTCTTGTTTATTAATTTAAAACATAGACATGCTTCAAATAATTGCTTATTTTCTTAGTTAGGGCTTAAGTTTTTTTTTTTTTACTTCTTTGAATATTAGTTCAACAAATTTATTAGACTGAAGAGTTGGAACAGTGTTTAAAACACTGGACCTAGGTTCAATTCCCAGCACCTGCATGGTAGCTAAAATCTGTCCATAATTCCAGTTCCAGGGGATCCAACAACCTCTTCTAACCTCCATAGGTACAACTTACATACATACAGACATAAAACTCATACACATAAAATAAAAATAATAAATAAAATATTGAAAAAGAATTTTTAATTGGGTTTCATGTAATGTGAAATAAGTTTTGAGTTATTTTTAAATTGAAACCAATGGAAACATTGATTATGCATAAAAAGGAGCAGAAAATGAAGCTTGGCCTTCATAATCTTTCTTCATTTTTGTTAAAACTCAAAGTGACCATGATGCACTGCACAAGATGGGAAGGATAAACAAACAGTGGTACATACATACAAGGACACAGGAAGAGATGAACTTTCAAGCTCTTAAGGTTCATGGGGGAGTCTTAACTGTGCAGTGTGAAGTGAAAGTCTCAGCCGACATAAGGTAGATACTAAATTATTTCAGTAGTTGATATTCTGAAAAAGGTAAATTTATAGGCAATAAAAGTTTTGATGTATGCTAAGTTTTTGCAAGGAATATGGAGAGATAGGAGAAATACAGGAAAATTTGTGGATTAAAAATATTCTAAATGATATTCTGATGGTAGATAAATGACCCCATGTACTTTTCAAAGCATAGAAAATATTTTCAACACAAAGAGTAAACCTTAGTATATGAAAAATATAAAATCATGAGATTGTAAGTTTTAGAGAGAGATGAAGTTGTGGAGTGCAGAACTGACTTATAAACAAATGAAATAATTTTATTCATGGGGATAGGAAAGCAGATGACTTCAATAGTTTTGGAATTAAATGAAACATTTATGATTAAAGAGAAATGCAATTCTGAATATTTGTCCCTCCAAATACTGAAGTTTTTAATCATGGGAATAGCTTAACAGTTCTGACACTGTTATACATGTATGGTGGAAATGAACAAGTAATAAGCTAGTGGCCAGCTGTTGGTTTGGATCATACATGTTGGAGAGGGAATTTACAAATGAGCAACATGAGGCTAGAATCATCTCTGTGACAAAAAAATTCAGATTTGATGACAATAGTACAGCTTGTGTTTACTTAATAGACAGATATAAATACAGATAGTTTCATGAGGAAATGTTTATAAATTTGTGTATATCTATGAGAGAATATTCAATCATTTTTCTTTATTTTGCCAATTCAGAGAGCCTAGAAAGAATGAAACCTCAGTAGGGTGAGCATGCTTAGCCATCTGTTATGGTTTCTTCTATGTATTTTTAAAATTTTATTTCTTATTTTTATTTTATGTGTATGCATGTATTGCCTGCATGTAGGTAAATGCACCTATGTTGTACAATGCCCATGGAGGTCAGAAGAGGCTGTTCGATCCCCTGGGACTGGAGTTATGGACAGTTGTTAGCTGCCCTGTGGGTGCTAGGATTCAAACCCAGGTCTTCTGCAAGAATAACCAGTGTTCTTAATCGTTGAGCCATCTCTCTAATCCCTCTATGTGTATTTTTAAATGAGATTTGTAGATTTCATGTGATAGATCTGAATTAAATTTAGACCCCTCCCCATCCACACTCCTCAATAACCCCCACCCCAATTTAATGCATTTTCTCAAACATGTTAAGGTATACCTGGTCAATCATTTGTACCCAGATGTCCTAGGTGCAAGTTCATCCACTGGAGTCTAGTTAACCTATCTTGATTCACTCTCTTAAAGAAGATCAACTCTCCCTCACCCCAATGGGGTGAGGTCAGATGGTTTCTAATATCATTATAGCATAAAAAGATTTGGTCCTTTATTGAGAAACTGCGATTTCTAGGACAGTGAACAAACATAAGCTTATATATGCTAGTAGTATTGCCAGCACCCAAGTGAGGGTGGCATGAGCACCCCTGTGTGTGTGTGTGTGTGTGTGTGTGTGTGTATATTTGTGTGTGTATGTGTATATGAAATTCCTAAATGAACTGATACTCAAAATGTCTTTTCCTTTGATTGGGGCTAAAAATCTTACAAACATGTTTCTGAGGATGTTGCTTGTGCTTTATTTATGGCCTTCATAAGTCAGAGAGCTCAGCAGTTACCAGCTGTCAGTCACAAATCATGGCTTGAGGTCGGCCACTTCATTATTTCCAATAAGCATACCCAGAAGTATGCACAAATATTTATGTTAATGTAATGGTATCCAGGAATATTACCACCCATCATCTTTGAAATAATTAAATGTTTTGAACTGAAGTTCCCAGAAAAAGTTGCGACCCTATGAAAGCTAACACAAGTCTGACAAAGCTCACCATGATTGTGCAGAGCTGGAATGATGCGTGCACAAAGCTGTATTATCTTGGTTTATCTTCAGGCTCCTAATATCCATTTATTGCCCAGCTCTGTGATTGACTTACTAATCTTCAGTCCTCACTGACGACAGTAGCTAATAGGCATTAGCTGGGGAGAAGTGAACCAAGTTTCTTACATGAGACTGTCAGCTTTAAAATAGGTAATTAGCTTAGAGGGGTGAGAGAAGGCCACAGGGAAATCTCAGAATCCATACAATAAAAGTCAAGAGTTTTGTTGTAGGTTTTTTGTTTGTTTGTTGTTTTGACAAAAAAACTAGCCCACCTGGATATCACTATGTAGACTAAATTGGCCTCGATCTTGATCTCATGTAGATCTGCCTGCCTTTGCATCCGGAGTGCTGGATTTGAAGGTATGTGAAACTACACCCAGCATTAAGAGCTTTTTTTTTTTTTTTCAGTCAAAGAACTAGTCACCTGAATGTGTTTTGGGATCAAAAATGTGCTGATTAAAGTGATTAGCTTTCTTAGGTGTCACCCAATAGCTGGTAATCTCAGCTGGGTCTTGAGTGACTCTTCTCTCAAAAGAGAGGCTTAGGGCATCTAAGAGACCGTCCTTTATGGTAATTTACTCTTAAGTATAATATATATTGCTCCATTTGACCCAGGAATGTTTGTGGATCTCTACAGGTTTCTTTATCTTCAACACAGAAGTGAACACAAGGTAAGTATACTTTGAAGGTTCCAATGCTGTAATTAAAGTGATTATCTTCATTGGGTTCCATCTCAGAGGCAGCTGACCACAGGAGCATCTTGATATCTCTCCTGAATTTCTCAAAGGCACTGAGTGGCTTAGACCATCTAGATCAACATCTTTTTTTTTTTTTTTTTTTTTTTTTTTGTCCCTTTGAGACAGGGTCTCCCTGTAGCCCCAGCTGTCCTGGAACTCACTATGTAGACCAGGCTGGCCTTGAACTCACAGAGATCCACCTGCCTCTGACTCCTGAGTGCTGGGATTAAAGGCGTGTGCCACCACGCCCAGCTTCAACATCTTTTTTAAAAAATAATTTATTGAGAATTTCATACATGCGTATAAGGCATTTTGATCAAATCCATGCCCACTCCCTCCGTTCTAACACTTCCCATATCTCCCCATCACTTTTCTCTGATAACTTCATGTACTCTTCTTCTTTGATTGATTTATTTATTTGTATGGGGCATTTGGCTACTTTAACATTCCATCTTCTGATGAGGTAACCCTAAAATCTTTTAAGGATTAGATACAAGCTCCCAAATACTTTCTACATTTTTGGCCTTTGGCACAGAGTATGTTGGCTAGGAGGCCCAAGGACATTTTGACTCTTAGCCAAGAAACTGGCTACTTTTCTTTGTGTTCTTTTTACCCTAACTGCTGCCTAGCCAGTTCTTACCTCCTGTTCTTATCACACCATCCTCTGAAGGGGTTACCCAAATTACCAGTAGGGAATAGGGACACAGAGTGCTCTGGCTTCTTCCATGCTGAACAGGGAGGGATGCAGGATGAGGCAATTGGAGTACCCCTTCAATGGGTCTATCTTAAAAAGGCTCCCAAATTGCATAACTCTTATCTCTAGGGGGAAAAGAAAGTCCTTGAATCATGAATAGGAGATGGGAAGAAGTAAAGGCAAGAGTAATTAGCATTACATCTTCTAGAGAGGGAACTGGAAAAAAAGTCAGAACAGGGCGATTTTCAAATGTTCATAGGAGTCCATTAGGATTTCTTGACAAGGGCTTCCAAAAGCATACCTCTATTGGGTTCCTCCTCATTTTTCTTTTGTCTCCAAGGCTGGACTCTAGAGTGATGGATTCAGGATTTGCTTTCAGGTATTTTGATAGCTGTTGGAGTGGTTAGACTCAGTGTCAGTTCCCTTACAAAGGCTTCTAGATGGGAGCAACAAACGTATACATTGTCACCAGAGTTCTCTCTGGGTCTCTTGCACTATCAGGCAAACCATATAATATATCTTTATGTGCATTTATTATTATTGGGGGGGGCTAGGGGAGTGACTTACAAAGAAAAGAGCACCCGGTGCCTAGCTCCATGCTGCTCAACTCCTTGTTGCACAGCTCCGCACCACACAGCTCCACACCTTGGCTCACAGCCAGCCCTATCAGGAGGCTCTCACTGTGCACCCATTTACACTGCTACCTATCGCCCACACCTCAGGGGCCAGGGGTCTCACCCCAGGTCCATAAGTTGTGCACCCATTTACACTGCTACCTATCGCCCACACCTCAGGGGCCAGGGGTCTCACCCCAGGTCCATAAGTTCCAGGCCATTCTGTCCTTGAGTACAACTGGCTACTGCCCATTCCCTACGCCCTCTGCAGCATGTTCCTGGCAGCTCACGACTCTGACCTAAGATGGTGCCACAAGCCCCTCCTTTCATGGATCACTCTCCACAGACAATTCTCTGCAGCAGGCCCCACCCCTTGGAGGAGCCAGAACCCCTGGGGAACACATACATCATTTTAAAACAATACCTGGTTCTCTCCCTTAACTACAGATGGGCACTACAGTATTGGAGAACAAGATTTGAAGTCTTACATTTGAGCAGCACTTTCTGGTTAGGAACAAAATCACCAATGAGAAATAATTTTCTAAATAACATTTTATATAGATTTAAGCCTAATGTCTTGGAAGTGTAATCCCTTGAACTCTTAAAAAAATATCCTGATCACTTTACTCTTTCGTTATAGTTTACTTTGAGGGGTTTAAGACCATACAGTTGACCTAAATAAGTCAATTTATTTTCATTCTTAAGGTTGTTTGATGATCTGTTCCTCAGGGGTCACATGGGCTTGGGAGGAGCTCCTGGCTCCTCTGTCTGTGTGAAGATAAGTCAAAGGTTATGCTTGACCATGGTTGGCTTCACTTGAAAGCATGGAGGAAATGTTTCTCTTGGGTTGACCCTCCTATTTGTAGACTGGACACTGGTTCAAGACCATCTGGTGGGGTCTCCATGGCCACCCTGAACAAGAGGACAGGTGACTCACCACAGTTAAAGGACATTTTGAAAGATGTTCCATAGTCCTCTAGAGCTTAGTTGACCTTGGAGGACAATGGGCAAAAACTGTCCTTTACGTCCTGCTGAACACATTAGTATAGGCCTCAAACTATGGCTGTTAAATATCCAATAAGGGTAGTTCCATCAGCCTGGTACTTTAATTATCATGTGCTGTGTAGATAAGGCTTGGGTGAAAAAACAAATATTTTCAAATAAACCTTGACTAGATACATATTTTGTTCCTTAAAGTAGTTGACTAAACTATGACCATAAAAATTTTAAGATTATGTGTATATTATTTTTGTCTCATCCTTTATATATCATAACAAACCTAAGCAGCAGACCTTCATCACTTGCTTAGACTTTCTCAAATTTTTTCTGTTTATTTTGGAAAATATCTCCATTCTCATATTTTTTTAACATCTTTTACATTCTCATTTTCTTTTCTTTTTTTCTTTTTTTTTTTTTTTTGGTCTTTTTGAAACACGGTCTTTCTGTAGCCCCAGCTGTCCTGGAACTCACTATGTAGACCAGGCTGGCCTTGAACTCATAGTGATCCACCTGCCTCTGCCTCCTGAGTGCTGGGATTAAAGGCATGCACCCCCAAGCCCAGCCTCTCATTTTCATTTTATAAAAAAATAATTATGAGACATAATAGCATTAGCAAATAAATTTTCCATGGGTTGTGAGACTTCTTTTCCTGGGGATGCTAAGCAGTACTTATTCCTTTTTAAGGTTCTAGCATCAAGCCAATGATTGATTAAAGTTACTGGGGAACTAATGAATTTATTGAGCTTTCTTACCAAGATAACTGAGGGGTTGCTGAGGTGTATGTATGACCTGAGGGTATGCACACTGGAAATCCTTTACCCAACATGGGTTGTGTCTTCTTTTCCTAGCTGGCCACATTGTATGATTTGGCCCTCCCCAAATCCAGGAGGCCAGGTGCGAATAGGGTCCAATTAAATACAATTAGCTAGGAAGAGTTGACCCTCCTTTAATGAATGAGCACAACCATCAATGAACCCCATTGTGATGTTTAGTGATCAGGCTCAACAGAAGTCATGATAATGGTAGATATTCCATGCAGAAAGGACTGCTGTACAGCAACATCTTATTAAAAGAACATGGAATTTAAAAAGATTTGGTGCTAGGGTCCATATATGAGGGAGAACATATGTCTTTTGTTTTTCTGAGTCTGTGTTACTTT